CGAGTCTAAGCTAATAATCTTATTATCCACTTCAGGAAAATTTGAAAGAATTATATCACCTACCTTTACAGCATTGATTCTTCCACGAAAATCATCGCTATTATTCTCCACATAAATTTGATATGGTCCTGTATCCGACATACTGTACCTATCAATCGATTGTTTTGGTATGTTTTCATTACCTATTTTTTGTTGGTTTTCGTCGAGAGGTTCTAATTCGCTTTTTCTATTTACGTATTCTGCAATTTTTTCTGCTCTTTTCATATTAAAAATATTATTGTTACCTATTATTGGTGATACTGTATACATATATGTTGACTCATGAGGAGGGGTTGAATTAGGAGGTGGTTCGGGGGGTTTACCCCCATTTACACTAGACATCACTTTGTAGTTTCAAAGAACTCAATACACACGATATTATCTAAGTATAAGATTTGAAATAAACGAGCTGATACAAATGAATTTGTTTTAATAAGACACTCTGAGAAACACTTCCAACACGTACGAAGTCTATCACAGAACTGTTCACTGTAGATAATCACAGGTGCCTATACAGCTACCGGACTGAGTCGTGACCGGTAGGAGAAATCGTATCTGCGTAGTAAAGTTTCAGTCAATCAATTATTCAAACATTTATTGAATCAGTTTTCCTTCACAATCACATTAGACAAAAAAAAAACATAACATCATCATAAAATACTGGCTGATTCAACAGGTCAAGCAGACATAAAAGAGTCAATATAAAACATAAAATATACATAAAAAAAAGTTAATAAGCTTCAATCAAATTAGGATTCAACGGTAGGATGACAAAGAAAGTATTAGGAAAAAAGGAATGGAAACTTTCGTTTGCAATTTCATGTATTTGGATGTTTACAGCTCGAATATTCCAACAGACTGTTAACAGATTTCTACACATCTTGGCTTCTCACTAGCCAAGAATCAGTCCGACAGCTGTAATAAGTATTGTTGTTAGGAAAAATGTATCTTGGTTAGCTGTTAGGTTACTTCGGGAAGTATGGCATAAGTATGGCATTTTCCTACTAAAAAGTAGGAAAAATAGGATGAGTATGAGGCCTGTCATTATAAGCATGTATTGGCACTCCACCTGAAAGACGATTTGCAGTGATAAAAACCTACAAAACAAACATCTTCGGATAAGATTGTCACATTCTCAATTGTAATAGCAAGTACCAAATATGTACACAAAAAGTTCACAAGAATAAATGAAAAATTTACTTTTTCTTCCTCTGGTAACATGGTCATTACTTCCTTAGTCAGGTGCATTTGATCAGTTAACTTTTTCATTACTTTTGTGACTATACCATCTTGCAAATATTAGCTTAAGTCTCTTCTTATGGCTTGGCAATTTTGGGAATAAAAAATATTGAATATACGGATATGAACAAATATAACAAATATTCAAAAAAGAGAAATAAGAATAAAACTTTGGAAACGTTCAATACTCAACATATAGCATATCTGTTAGCTTGCTTGATTCCCATTTTGTAATCCTCATCCTGGCCCACGAAATGCCAGTAAGAAGATATTCCAATTCAGTTCAACTAGGGGCTGGTTACATATAAGGGGTGATTTTGTAGCAACCTAGGACAATCCTAAAATCACTTACATGATTGATACCTGAAGTTTACCAAAAAAAAAAGGTATTTGTTTACCTCGCTAGAGTTGAGAGTACTCTTCTGAAATGTTTCATAAGTGCAAATTGGTAATCAATCCTTTCAAGAAGTATATCAATCTTCGACTAGATAGTGAACTACCACAAAAACATCACAACACTGACATGAATCAGTCAAATTTTATTGTAGAACTCGAACACATATTCTATACTGAGACTGCCATAGGTTTCTTCATTGTTCAATACTTGATTTTTATTGTATGAGCATATTTTCAACACAATAACCTTGCTACTCAGAAAAACTAATATAAATTGAAAGATAAATGAACAGAGGGCATTTAAAATATTTTCATACAAGAGATTTCATCAGAGTTTAATCTCGGCAATAAAAGGTACTTATGTGGAATGAAAAATAAATGCTACATACTAACCTTGTTTGGGACTTAATTTTTTCAAGATCATCTGCAGGTTCGTTGATTTTGGATTTGATGAATCTGTATTTCTCCAATTCTCTGGTGTAGTCGTTCGGTAAAGATGACTCTTGACTTTCATGATGGTTTTGTTGTACCTGGCAATTAAAACTGTTTCCAGTATGAGACTCAATTGCATTCGGTGGTGGTACACTATAAGGTCCTCCTGGAGGCGGATATGAAGCTAGAGTCGAATAAATATTTGCCTCATTGCTTGGATGATGAAAGTAAGGTGTAATATTCTGATATTGATTATAAGAATATTGACTGATTTGAGGATTGTGTTCCAGGGGAACTTGCAGATTGTAATTTGGGATATTCGGTGAAGGGTAATTGAAGTTATTATAGTACCACTGATCACCCATAATTCATATGAGAAAGCCTATTGAAATTCGTGTTTGTAAATCTCTTCCTTCTTAAAATGTAAAAAGGTTATTGCATCCAGTTTTCCAAATAGATAACTCAAATGAAGCACTGCACCATTAAATATGTATATGATATTCGTATTTTGATTGTGATGCGAACATTACCACTACCAAAGATAATTTCTTATTTTAATTATCTTTGCCACTTCTTTCAACAATTTGATTTTTGATTATGATAAATATAAACACCGGAAGACATTTGACAATTTGACTAGTTTTCTCTTTCTCTTTCTGTTGTTCGTTGCTTCTTAGTTAGGGGCAAATGACCAATTCTCAAGGTCGATCGTTCGTCGTAAACGTTCAACGAGTGGAACGTATAGTTTTTTCAATGTCAATTCTCGAACATATCCTGCAGCTACTCGTTCCGACGAATGTCGGATAGAGGGAAAGATATGGCAACGCAGTAAATTTTAGTAACTTGTTAAATACTCCCAGATATACTTTGAATAAAGGCGTTTTCTGGAGCTCATGTATTCAAAACGTATTCGTCTGTGATTCAAATACATTCATTCTGGCGTTAAAAAGATGATGTCACATCAACTTTGATTTGAAACGTATTCACCATGATTCAAAACTAGCGTGAGGTTGGTTTTGAAACGGAATTTGACATTACATTACGTCAGTTTCTGCTTTATTTTGATTGTTATTGTTCATAAAGTGCTGAAAACTTTTCATCAAATACGTTGTAAGGATGTACAAAATAAAGCGGCAAAATTATTACTTGCACAAATCCGATTCTAATTGAGGTTAGAGAAAATTGAAACGTTTGTTTTTATTATTGAATTTGACATCTGACAGAAATTGTATCACTTCACTCTGGCGAATCTCATTACTAATGAAGTCAATACGAATCGTTTTTGAATACATGCTCGAATATGATTAAACGCAAGAAAACACCTCTGCAGACCTGCAAAATAGTTAGACCAGTTTTGAAACGTCCTATTTTATAATTCCAAAATAGGCACTGAATTGTCAGAAATGACTGACGTTTTATTTATTTGAGGAGTTGAAATTATACAATGAACCTGATTTTTAAGAATACAAGGATGAGTCAAACAAATCAATACTATTCTCATTTGCTAACCTAAGCATTCTAGTGATGGTTTCATTTAAGCCATATCTAGTAGGATGGTAAGGGACAACTCGGACACTCTTCTTGAACTTACATTGAAGTTCATCATTTGTGTTACAAATTGCATTGCATTAATCTGTCTCTTGCAGTGGCGTACGGAAGTTATACTAAACAGATGAGGAAAAATGATAAAATATATAGAATCACAACCCTTACAACATATTTCTGAGAATTTAGTGCCTACTATTATGGAATTATTCTACTATAAGAGGGAATATGGGTACGCCTCGTTATAAAATTACGTCATCGGTACGGCCATTTCGATGCCCATAGAAAGAAATTTGAATGATGGAATTGTTTATTAGACACCCACCATTATGACGGTTACATCATATTTTGTCAATTTCATAACGATACATCACGAAAGTTGATGAGTCTTTAATGTATATATTATGGATATAAGTGCGTGTGTACCTCTTTTGCACCGATTTCAAAGTTGGCAAACCCGGAGATACAAAATTAATTTTGTGAAGCCTAAATTTTTAAAAGCCACAGAAACATTCTAATGGACTGTCAGAGTTCATTCGTCAGTCAAAATTACAAAATGCACAAAACTGAAACGAACATATGATTCGTAATACTTTCTGAACTTCTACAAGTAAAAGGTGTGTAAACAAAACAAATAAATAAAAACTCGCTAATAACACTTGAGACACAATTAAATTGCCTTCATTGGAATAACGAAGATCCGTGTGTATTCCAGTGTTTCCAAATTTTCTAATGTTTTATATGGATCTCACCCAACTTTAATACCATATGAATGTTGCAGCAACATCCTGGATAATTCCAGCCTCCCACAGTTAAAACAGCGATTTGAACGTCAAAGATATGGATATAGTCAAATACAAACTTGATTCATATTCCAAAATATTTCATGATTTGATTAACCAACCATACGTAACAAACACATTTCTTGGTTTACATACTTTACTAATACGCTCATCATCGTATTGATGGTCCTTTAGATATTATGCTTATGCAAAAGAAAGCAGTCTAGCAGTTGCAGGCGTAAATTACCCTCCACTACCTCCAAAAACCCGTCAACCTTTGAAGCATTCAATATTTCGAAAAAAAGAAATGTATCGATACAAGTAATTACCAGATAAAAGACTTAGGAATTATGTTCGATCGTGAATTGAACTTCAAATCTCATAATGAGTATATTATAGCTAAATCACTCAAGATGTTGGGCTTCATCAATAGATCATGTAAGGAATTCAGTTTGAACACTCTCAAGTTATTATATTGTTAATTAGTTAGATCATTATTGGAGTACGCTTCAATAATTTGGTGCCCATATGAAATACACATAAACCAAATTGAAGCTGTACAAAACACTTTCCTGAGGATCTGTGCATACAAGTTAGGTCTAAGAAGGGGAGAATATGCATACAACATTAGAAATCAGATGAATCTATTATCTTTAAAGAATAGAAGAATTATTTTAGATGTATGTTTTTTAAGCAAAATTTTAACTGGCAACATCAACTGTGAGGAGATTTTATCTTTAATTAATCTGAATGTCAACAGATAGACCAGAACCAGTACCAAAACATTTTCGTTGAATAAATAAATAATTATGGAAGGTTGAAAACCCAAAAAACGGTCAGAAACATTGACTCCTCCACAAAAAAATGTCTCAAAGAATAATCATCATAACTTTGTTAAAGTATTCATTGAATCAAATATAGACCAAGTCATGCGACATGTGTCATTGAATAGTAATTTGTTTTATATGCTAAAAATATCTTGTTTATAATAGGATAGGCATGATTTCCCGTATTTTGAAACGCTGTGAGGAATTTCGTTGATAAGTACATGTAAATAAAAATTAAATAATTTATGTTATATAGAATTCCAACAGATAGACACAAATACGTTATGTTTTTTGAATATCTTCATTGTTTAAATAATTTAAGGCATGAAGTCTCCTGCTTCTAAAGCTTGATAAGTTTTATTTACCAGAAAGATTAATTTTCCTGTGTTCTATCACAATTTCATTCCACCGAAGCAAATAAATTAGGAGTTTGACATAAGTATTTTCAATGATGACAATATTGAATAATCACATTCCAATGTTGAGATCTCGTTTGTCACACATTAACCGTATGAGAAACCTTGGAATAATCCTAACATTACATGGTACTGAACAAGTCTGTCAAAAAATGCAAGAAACGATTTTATTTCAAACAATTTCAATAGTAGGTATTCAGAGTAAAGGGGGTCTTGTAGTACTTTCTGACATGATTATGGGACTTGACTGAGACATGACATTTTCTCTGCTTTGAGAAGCTGCAACATAGTTGATGGAGGTTAATTTGTGGTATTATAATATTTAATTGAATTTCATCCACATTGAAAACACTGTAGCCTAGCCTCATGGACTTATTGTGTCTACTCCCATCTTTTTTATAACACCCATTCCAATAAACTTGTGGCTTGTACTAGTTTGTACAGGCCATTTGCTGGATGTATGTCATACTCTTGCTACAATTTGGGTTGTCCATGAATTGTTTGTCTCCTGTGATCCAGTGCCTCACATTCACATATAATATGATAAGCTGCCTATGTCCCTCTGGTGCATTACCTGCAGTTGAGGTCTTCATTATACAGCCCCATTTGGTTCAGGTGTCCTTTCAATGGACAATATTCAGTGAGTATTCCTGTAATTGTTCCGAGCCGATCCCTGTTTTGCTGGAGCAGTTCTTCAGTTCTCTTTTCAGACGATCTCTTTAGAAACGTTGTGTATCGTTTGTGTTTTCCTAGTACTGTCAATGTTTCTTATAGACCCACTTTCAATTTGGGTTCCGCACCAAAGACTTTGAACCCCTGCAGCTGGTTCGGGGCCTATATATGGAGTTGATGATTCGTGTCTCGCACGAACATCAGCTATTTCGTTGCTTGCAATGCCCGAGTGTTTGGTCCCTTCAGAATTGCTTTTCCGTGTGTATTCCCGAGTGGTTTTCCAGTACTCTTTATGTTTTTTATAGACCCATTTTCCAATTTGATTCCATACCAAAGCGTTCAGGACCTATATATAGATGATCAACTTTAATCGAACAATAACATTTTTCTGAATATATTATGTTCAATAACTTGTTTAGCAAGTAGTAAACTTTATTTAGGAGAAATATTTCACTTTTTTTTTTAAAAAACCTTTTTGGCTTTCTACTTCTCAATCATTCAAACAGAGAAGTGTTTCTTGAATATGTGCTAACTAATTGCAAACTTTATGCAATTGCAAAACCTAAAAAATCATTTGTGGAAAATCCAAATTGGATATACATATATTCACTTTTTGAAACGTTCGCGACTTTGAGAAAGCTATGTATATAAAAAAAGTTAAAATGACTGATTGCACTCAACAAAACATTTGCAACTTCGCAGCTTGGAATGGCATGTTTCTTCATAAACAAAACTCTGTTGAAACACATGTGTAGGCAGATGTCAAGGTTCGTTTCATGCCAAAGCTTCGCACATGTGGAAACAGAAGCAAGATTGTATCACAACCCTGGACCATATACCAGTTTGTACCCATCTGGTACAGGTTAACATTCTGAATATCTGCCAATCATATCATCGTTAAGTAAAAAATAATATTTAAAATGACTTTTATAAACACATCTTTATTATTATTATATAACAAAAATACCAAGGAGTAATACTCTAGAACGATAATAATTCAAACAACAATATGATTACATAAAACAAATAACATTAATAATACGAACACATTTACAAGTTTTGATTTGAAACTTTATTTCCCATTTGATGTGGTAGCCTGGGTTAGTATGGCCTTATTCTTTTTAACCATCACTTTCACTTCTTTCACTTTTGTAGCAAATCTAAGGGAAGTTATACTTTCCTGATAGAACTCTTCAAATGGGGAAATATTAACAACCATTAAGGTTTTAGAGTTTCCCCCCAAGCTTGATTGAAGTAAATAAGTTAGCTTCGAGTTTCTATACGGAATATGTTTCTCCTTGTTATACAGTGCTAGCATAACATGTCCCAATATGGAGAGGCTAGTGTTAATATTTTTAGTTTCAGCCAATCTCTCTCCTATAGAGGTGGTTTTAGCTCGTTCTGAACCAGCCAGATCCACCAAATTAACAGATCCAGCACAAGAACAATGGTATTCTTCATTGGAACCATACAAATAGATTTTGTATATTGCATGGGAACGAGAACTATGTTCATTGAAATCAGTTGCTGCTACCATTCGATTCTGTTGTGCAATTTCTAATAAAGCATTAAATTCCTCAGGCGAATTGATGTTTTCAATTTTTAAATTGGTTACAGTTATGCCACGTCCTTCATTGTATTTAATTTCAAGAGAACTTCGATTCACATCTGGATCCAATAAGTCCCGAACACATTCATTATAAATTTCCAGAAAACTTACTTTAACTGTGTATATCCAATTAGATCTTCTTAGATTCTCAATTGCCTTGAATATTAAATCCACAGATCTAGGTACCATTCCTAAAAAAAAAATCAATCATTAAATTAGGGATACGTCAATGTCAAAAAAATCCTTTTGATCCAAGTACTTCATGAGATTTGAAGAAAAGAAAATAAAAATAGGTTTGGTATTTTACGAGAAGTCATAGCTGTCCATTTGTTATCTGTTCTGATAAGTTGAGCACGAAGAACACGTCATAAGCATGCTTCTCATGGCGTATAGTGAAACATGTGTTGCAGTTTTGTAAAATGTTGAGTGAACATTTTACAATGAAGTGTTACTTGAATACTTTATGCATTTTCATTAAATATTGTCCAATTTCATCATATGGAGTTCTTCAATAAAATCAATGTAAGACATATAAAATTAAATTTGTAATTATTGTGATATAAATTATTGTTTATTCAATGTGAGTAATGAACATGTCGCCAAGCGAGCAGGGTGTGCTAGCAGCTGAACTTAATAAATTAAAGAAAAGCGAAATAATCGATCTCATAGTGACGAGAGTTTTACCGGTAAGTTATTCTGAGAATATTATTTTATAGAATCTCCTTGTTAACCTATCGAGTGGTAATAACTCAAGTGAAAACTCAGACTTTGATAATGAATCATCCGTGACCTCAACAACAGTAATCGTCAACATTGTACAGTGCAATTTGCCGACGATTCTTCGTTCACTCTGAAGTCTTCAGATTATGAGGGATTGTCGAGTCAGGCCAATCAAGCAATTGCTAATATGCAAAAATATTGTTCTCAAATGGTCTCATTCTGAACAGCTCAAAAACTAATACAATCGTCTTTTCACTACATGAGAATGATCGCAGTGTTCTGGTCAAAATAAATGGCAAGTCATTAACAAAATTCAAAAAATTGTTCATCACTGTGAGGAGGACTGACATACTCCTCACACAAGTACTAGCTTAGTATAATTTCATAATAGTAGGCACTAAATTCTCAAATATTATTACATTAAATAAAAACATTGTTGTCAAGGTTGTGATTCTAAATATTTTGTCACAATTTTTCCTCGTCTGTTTAGTATAATTTGTGTACGCCACTGCAAGAGACAGATTAAGGCAAAAACGTCTGTCATCTTTGAGAATTTAGTGCCTAATATTTTGGAATTATAGTAATTAACATTTTTTTTCGCTATCTAACTCTTCCTTTCAATATTCTTTGAGATTAATGAATCCAGAATATTGCAATCAAAAATAAACTTCACAAAGTTTGCAAAATCAACCTGTTAGGCTTGCTTTCTTGCCTTGTTGGCAATGAAGCTTCTTTACAATTTGAAATAGCACTAATATAGAATAAAGAAAATAACTTTCGTTTAATTTCTACTAAGTTTATTATTTGTTATGACCGGTTTCACTTTATTAGACAATTTTTAAGTAACTAATACAACAAGCAAAGACAAGTACTCAAATATACACTGTGATAAGGTCAAGTACCTGGAATAGGTACCTGAAATAACAAATGTTACCTGAATAATCAATACTAATATTACAATAACTAATTATCTTCTATAATACATCATGAATGGATCCTTAACTAGATGTCAAAATTACAAATTCAAAAGGGGAGAGCTGCATAGTTCTAGTTGATCACTGAGCGTTTTGAAACTGGGGCTTTTGTACAATTTATTTATTTCTACTGCTTCCAACAAATTCATCTCCCTTCCTTTGTTGCATCTATGAATAATGTTCATGTTCTCTTTATTTAGCGCGTCGAGTGCAAAAATATCAGTTTGGTGTTAGGGCAATTGATCTCGAAAAAAGTTATTCAACTTTCACACCAAAGGTTCCAACAATCTCATCGTTATAATTATTTGTATTGTAAATTTCTATATTTTAGTTTAATTGACTTTTTCCATGCTGTAGAGTCTCTGGAAATAAACTGATTTGATTTGAATCAACAAAAAAAGCATATCTTATTTGAAGTATGGAAATGGTTTATTCGCATTCTTTTTCAAGCCAATATCTTAAATATTTATTTGTATCATTCTTGTCAATATTTCTGACATTTATTATCGCATCAGAATTCTTTCTTTTGTTCATTTAGGTCTTTTTGAATTACGTCCTTTATTGCTGTTATTATTATCACTATTATCTATAAAATTTTCTGCCCAGATAAATGAGGTTCCTAACAATGGTGGAAACTGAGATTCAACATCAATGACCTATTCGGAAATTCGCTTTCAGTTTCACTTCAAACATACACCTTGATGACCTCTTCCCCTAATAGTGGAGTTTCTTTTTACTGCCAATCCCATACGGGGAAATTCATGCTCACTTCTTACTCTGGATTGTTTTTGTCGAGTAAGATTAGTTCAAGCGTTGCATTTGTGAACCGGCTGAGTACCACTGATGAGGTCTGTGATCTATGCTGTCTGGTATTGGATCACAAATGCAATACTTTTAGGCTCTAGTTTAGAATTACAAACAACAACCATGTAACAATGGCTCCTAAGGAAATATATTTTATTGTATCTATTGAAAACACTTGTCCTACACTAAAACAAAAAGACGGTCTCTCGACGCGCGTTTGGCTAACCAAGGAGATGACTAAGACACAGTCATCTCCTGATGATGCTAAAGAGTTCACTAACTGCCAGAATCTATCGTTTCTTAACCATTTTGTACTCGAGTACAGCTCATGCAATATAGCTCAAACTTTATGATGCACAAACAATAGATGAAAGGAACACTACAATATCGAGTATACATTTTTTTTTTGTTGTATCACGGTTTTGCTTTCATCTGTCGTTTACGCATCTCAAAGATCTAATCACGAGTTATAAAAATTAATTCCAGACATATGTCTAATTCAATTTTACATAAAAAAAGAAGTCATTTTTGTAAATGAATGAACTTACCCAGATGTTCAGGGGTGTTGATACCTTGCATGGTATATGTTTTTCCAGATCCTGTCTGTCCATAAGCAAAAACACACACATCATAGCCATCTAAGGCAGACTGTACTAATTGTGACAACTCTTCAAAGAATTCAGCTTGAGTTGATTCAGGTTGGAACACTCTATCGAATAAAAATTCTGCTTTATAATCAAGTGGTTTGCCTGTTACAGCACTGACACTTTCTTTGCTTTTACGAATTTCTAAAGTATTCTCATCTGGAAAGGTTAGCAAGCACTGAAGTTTATTATTTTCTTCCTCATTTATCGGTGGTCGTACTCTACAGAAAACTCGTATGTTTCCTTTCAAATCCTGAACGTTGTTGTGCAATTTACGACGTAACAATTCCCCATTGATTAGATCTTGTTTACATTTAGTAAGATTTTCGGATAAGTTTTCGCATTCAGCCACTTTAGTTTTCAGAGATTTTTCTAATTCTTTGTTTAAAATATTCAAACGAGTATTTTCATTTGACATGCTTTCACTGTTATTTGTAAGAATCTCATAATCCATCTTCAACTTATGATAACTTTTTTCAATCACTGTCAGTCTTTCGATTTCTTTGGCCCCTTTTTTTTCCTTGGCCTCCAGATCATTGTATTTAGTTGTTAGAATTTTAATTTCAGCTGATAAAGAATTTAGTTCATTATTAATATCTAAATTACTTTTTTTCAAAGCGTCATTATCACNCATATTCAACTCATTTTTGAAATATGACAAATACATAAAAAAATGAGTAAGTTTGTGAATGAATGTACAAGAAGAAAACTTCAGATTGAGGTAAAAGTTCAACAAAATAATTTGCCACTGTTTAAGTAATATTTATTACAGTGTAAAGATGTTGAATCCCCACAGTATGCAACAGCTATTGAAAATTTCACTCATGTGAACATGTTTATTCTCTAAATATTCATCAAATAGGAGTTTATACTAGGTCTTGAGGTTTTTACCTTTGTTTTATTCACCAAAGTACCTTTCGCACACTGCTTTGAATTACGGTAATGTTAAAAATAAATAAAAAAATTTCTAACCTGCATATTTTGCTTTTAAAGTTTTGTGATTCTCCACTAAATGAGTATATTTTTCATTCAAAACTTGAAAACGTCTTTTATAGTCCCAATCAGGAATTTTAGCTTGTTTGACACCCTTGGATTTAATTTCTTCTTCGGATTTCAGGATGTGCTTGACGGTACCTCTTGAAGTTGTAGGCATGGGTTCTTCTTTTATCGGATTTTGATTCAATCTGGCAAGTTTTGGTTGCCTTAATGTACTCAAATCAGTGACTGATTTGGATCGTCTTTTCAAACGATGGGACATGAAGCGAGTAGCAGTTTCAGTAGACTGATCAGGTTTCATTTCAGGTCTAGGTCTCTCTGTCGAAGATTTAATAATTGGTTGTCTAAGTCCAGATGGTTTGGGTAACTTGGATTTATTTTCCATTTTCTAGTCCACCTGAAAGAATCAAATATCTCTGGTTCACAAATTTCATCTGAAATTTATCTTCCATCTTATCTAGGGTAGCATAGCAATATTGATACAAATGATAGGTTACAATACAGAAGGAAGAGAAAATATATGAAAGTTGTCTCAGTTAAATATTGTGACAGAAGTTTGTGATTTGAAGTTACAACACTCGATTCAATTCAAATTTCAGGGATGGGTAAAGTTAGGGTGAATTTCAATAACAAATATAGTGCCAATGTAATGTTTATTGACGTAATTATGTAATTAATAAGGAATGTAAGGTGTATATCCCTCACAATAACTCAGTGTTTCTAAAATTGTGCACTGTGGCGCCCTGAGGCGCCGTGGAACCTTTACTGGGGCACCGTGGGCCACGGGTGAGTCTCAAGGTACGTTTTACAACATAGATAACTGAGAGTAAAGGTAATACGTCGGTACCTATTAATAAAAATCCTCTGATGATATGATAATATCGGTAATTGCAAAATGCAATCCGTTCAGACACCCACCTACCTACTTTTATTAATTAAATATCTAGTGTAGTCTTTACGTTCGGTACTGAGTCACATTATTTCCTGAAACATTTCCTTTGAATATTCTATACTATTTCATCATTATATTGCTTTCTTTTTATACTATATATCATATTATTCTGCTATGTATTTATTATCTTTAGTTCAGTTTAAGATTTTACAATTTTTTTTTTCTTTTTTCTCCATGACAAAGTTGTACTGTGATTTTTATCACTATATTATTATATTGCGTTTTATATTGGATTATGTGTTTATTGAATTTATTATCTTATGATGCACTGTTTGGAACTATTGGTTTAGTAATGAATATTACTGTAGTTCCTCTTTGAAGATGATCACTTGGTGATCGAAACCTGTGTCTAGGTGTTAAAAATAACGATTTGGTGTTGGGAAAAAACTCCAGTAATATTAAATTTATTATCATGGCTGTATCNACCATCGATAACATGACTACCCAACTGTTAGAATAGAATGGAATAGAATATCCTTTATTCGCCATAAAAAAATACAATAGTATTATAAGGTTTTGTCAAATATCATATACCATAAGAATACCGTAAAAGCACTGAATGAATAAATAAAAAATAAACAAATAAGGAAATGAGATGTGAACAATTTCAATATAAATATCACTGTCTACGTAGATTGTAAGTTCAAAATATTAGTTGGTGTTGAAGTCAAATGATAAGAATCACTTAGGAGTTACTGGACACCTCACATTAATGGGAATGAAAGGTTTTGGCATTCTACTTCTCTATCTTCATACAAAAAATGTGGAAAAATTACAAAAGAAAGAAAGCAATCAATTTTAAAATAAACTCTTTACTAAGATGTGTAGATCATACATAGAAGTTACTTTCAGATACAAACTGGAAGAAAGGGTACTTTTGAAAAAACTACTTTTATATGAATACTGAATTACACAAAAGAAATGTTTCTCTATTCAGTTTGTATTCCAAACATTCGTTATGGAACTGAATCAGATATCAATCACAGGATTGCTACACAATCTAATATATAAAAATGGATGTTTGTTGGTTGGTTGGTTGGTAAGTGATAAACTTCTACATCGCTCAACCGATCGTGATGAAACTTGACATTCCTTTCAATTTAAACTTTATATTCCTTATTAATTATATTGTATCAATAAGTATTACATTGGCACTATCTTTATTATTAAAATCATACCAAAAATTTGAATTTCAATTATGTGTTGTAACTTTAAATCACAAATTTCTGCCATGATTGAAATTATCAAAATTATCATAATATCTACATGTATGAGTTCAAAGTTTTCAGTAGTAATAAATGAAAAACATGAATTCTCAATATCAAGGAGTGTAAACTTACAGGGCCGGAGATAACTCTGTCAAAGCTTGTATTCGGGTTTTTGAATTCTCAAGACAAAACTTGCGATATAAGGCTTAAGACAGTGCATGAATCCACCCTGATTCTATATATATATTTTTTAGGAGAAAATCCCTCTTCTACCTACCTACCTGACATGTTTATAGTACCCGAGTGTCATTATTTTCATTGGTGAATTCCACTGTTTTATTCTTATCAATTCTAATGCACCAAAAAAAATTAAAATGCCCAAAGAAAAAAAAAAGGTAAAAAGCCTTACCAGCACACCTACACACATCTATACTCGGTAAAAGTTTTACTTTTAGAATCATCCCGTGCCACCAATTGATGAAAAGTAATAAATAAAGTTTTCATAATAAATTAGAAGATAGTGGGTTCGTTGATGTATGGGGTTCTCCAACCATCACTTATACAAGCTATAAACGAAAATTATTATACTTACTGATATTATTTTGACGAACCTTATCACACATATATCATCAACACATCTAAAATTGAATCAAATTGATAATAAACAGTATTACAATTCTAATATAACACACAATTAACACGAAAATATAATTCAATATACAAACAACCAAACATCGACGTTAAAGTTACAATGATTTAAATTCAAAATGTCTGACATCTGACAAGATATGAAAGACAACAAACAACTTCAAAAACAAAAATCCACTAACAGACAAAGCCCACTGTTTAACGTCACGGTACAGCGACGAATATACACTTTGACAGGATAGCCTAATTCTCATCTTGGAGTCTTCTTACGTCATCATGCGTTTTGGAGGAAAGTTTTATTCTTAATTATTCTATCCTTGTTTCCAAGGAAGCCAATCTGAAATTTTCACTCATCTCCATTTACATAACTAAATCGGTCATATCACCTCTATAGTCAAATCACAACTTCAATTGTGTAGGAATTGTTACAATAATCGAAAGAACATAAAAATTGTAAAATTAACAGAAAAATAGAAAAGGGTAATGTAAATAATCCAAGGTATTATTCTTTTTATCACATTTTCCATATGACTCCGCTTTGACAAGATAGTTTTCGCTGATCACCTTATCCTGTCTTATAAAGAAAATACAGAATCAGTCGTATCCATTTGTTGTACTGTACTTCTGCAACTACTGCATCGAAATTCTGTTCACTAAAGCATCAGTGAAATATGAACCAGGAAAATCTGCCTGAAGCCACAGTATAATAATGACTGGAATCAGAACTAGAATGAGAAACCGCTACACAATTTATTAAATGATGATAATACAATATATTTTTGTCAATATAATTATAACTTGAACTGAACTCAGTGCAATCGCAGGTAAAGCATTTCAACTTGAAATTGGCTGTCCAGTATAATCTAGCAACTTCCAGCNGTGAAACCTACTATACACGAAAGTTTTCTCTTCGGTTAATTCAATGTTCATTTGGCAGTAGTATTCTGCATAATCTACACATATTTGTGAAGAGTTCATTTTGAACCTAATTGCTGTCTTCCGCCAATGGACGTTTCACACAATTATTTCTATTAAGGTGGTGAAGTGAAAGTTGAAAAAGCTTTCTTCCCAATAAAGCTATAAGTTATGTAATCCAACTTGATATCAGTATTTTCAAAAATGGCACCTTTGAAATACACTAAAATAGAAAAATCTGTCATCTGAAGTATAATCTAATTCTATCCTTTCAATGTTGAAACGACTATATTTGAATAGTACCTAATCATCCTAGTTTACATTATCCAGAGATTTTTTGAAAGCACTATAGGAAATACCAAATATGCGAAGGTCTTTATCATTTATTAATTTAAGTTGACCACCTAACGAGATTTGTCTTCTGTTTTTCACTGCAAGGCAGCTAGATGACACCAGAGCCCAAAAACAAAGCATTCGTAATCAAGCACCAAATCCGCTAAAGTCTCATCAGTGATGCTAGGCCAAACCACGAATGCGTTGCTGGACTAAACTAGTTGTCTTGGAGTGAAAACTGCAGTGAAAGTCAAGAGGAATCAAGCTTGGCCGTCAAAGCTTGAACCGCCTTGGGAAGCACCATTTATTCATGGATTTAATCTTCTGTCGATCCCATAGATAGCGTCTTCGTCATAACCTCTATCTACTCAGGATTGACCTTTAAGGGCGGATGGGTCCAGAAATGCATTGTGGTTCAGCCTAGCACCACAAATGATACCTTGGCGGGTCAACATCATTGTCTCATGTTGGATCACGAATGTTTTGTTATTGGGCTTTGGTATATATTTATCAGAGTTGTTAATTGCAAAAAAAAAGAATCTGATCTGGACACGATGATTTTTCATTCTTCAATTTTTACTCAGTAAATTAACTTAATAGGTAAAGTTGGAGCCTCTGGCGAAAAATGACGAGCGTTTCGCTAACCAAGTAGGCATTGTCAGGAAATGACAAAAATTATTTTAGAAAAAAATAGTATATACAACATCTACTTAAAATATCACAGTTGTTAGTCAATATAAAACACAAACAAAATACAAATATAGAATACAAAAAAAAAGTTTATACAGTCAAAATTTATATTATATAAAGACTAGTTCATTCACCCAATAGATGACTCTTCAACTTTCTTTTGAATAATGCAAGAGTGCTACATTCTTTAATATTTTTGTTCAAACTATTAAAAGCTAACATTCCTGCATGGTAAATGGATTTCTCAGTACACTTTTTATTTTTAACTCCTACATATATGTTATTACGCGTTCTTGTATTATAGTGATGATGATTCTCATTGTATTCAATATGCCTACTC